AATGCACTATAAAATCTTTCAGTTACAGCAGTTAGCAAGTCGGTCGTAGAGTGAGAGGATCGAAAACAGTATTGATTGTCTGACAGTAGTTTATTTGACTCAAGATGAAATGTGAGGAGTTTGTTGATCAAAGACTCAAAGATCTTGCTAATAACAGAAGGAAGACTGATCGGACGATAATTAGAGGGGTCAGAGTTTTCTCCAGAGTTTTTGAATATTGGAACCACAGATGCCATTTTCCAACAAGCAGAAAAACAAGACTCAGTCAAACACTTGTTAAATAGTTTAGAGAGAATTGAAGAAAGTTCCGGAGAACAATTCTACAAGACTGTGACAGGAATGTTATCAGGACCACAAGCTGTAGATGAGTTTAATTGTGATATGACTTTGGCAACAGAAGCCGGAGTGATTTGAATGTCTAACAATGGGTCAACCTGTTTGACTGAAATGGAAGGAAGAGAATGTCCATAAGATTCAAGAGTGGAAATAGAAGAAAAGTTCTTTGCAAATAGTTCAGCCTTATCCTTGGGAAAGGTAATAAGATCAGTCCCATGAATGAGAGATGAAATGTTAGATCTACCCTTGTTAATAATGCTGTTGAAGATTTTCCAAAAGTCTTTAGAGCCTAACTTCTGTGATAAGATGCGAGATTTAGTGAACTGAGAATAATGGAGTTTAGCATCAGAAAGCACCTTTTTACACCGATTTGCAATAATAAATAGCCGTTTGTTCTCAAGAGAGTTGTTCTTTTGAAAAAGATGAAAAAAATGATTACGATTAGATATAGCAGCCGCACAAGAAGGAGAAAACCATGGAGTAGAATGAGGCTTGACTTGAAACCGACGAGAAGGAATAAAAGCTTCCATTCCAGACTGAATCCAGGAGGTTACGTAGGAGGCGCATTTATCAGCTGAGAGAAAAACATCAGCCCAAGGACCATCACGAAGAAAATCACGAAAGGAATCCCAGTCAGCTTTAGGGTAGTAGTAGGTGGTGCGATGATAAGGTGAGCCCAAAAAAGAAGTACGAGAAGAAAGATTTATAGAGATAATTGCATGGTCAGAACAACCTATGGGAGAAAAGGGAGAAACTGAACATAAGCTAGGGTTAGAGGCAAAACATAAGTCAAGGAGAAAAGGTAAATGATTAGGGTTGTCAGGAAAACGAGTCACAAAGTTAACTATCTGAGTAAGAGATTGAGAAACGCAGAAGTCAAAGGCTTTAGTGCGAGCAGGATCAGTGGTGCTAGAGCCAAGCCATTCAGTGTGATGAGCATTAAAATCAACAACAACAACAATATTGGCAGATGGGTAAAGAGAGAGGGCATGGTCAATTTGATCAGAGATAACATCTAAAAGAGCGCAATCATGGGAAGAAGGATAACAATAAAGAACAAAGAGAAAGGTGATAGAGTGAAGAGGTGCTAGGCGAAAACACATAAAAGAATGGTCAAAGGATTCGAACCTGATTTCACGACAAATAGGGGAATTAATGCGTATGTATACCCCTAAACCTAGCATGTGACTATTGGAGTCTTTACGAATCAAAGGATAGTACCCATCAACACTGACATCTGAAGAAGGAATTGCAGAAATTAAATTTGTTTCACTGAGTGCAAGCAAGTCTGGTGAATTTTGAATGAGGTAAGACTCAACTGACGGAAAGTTGCTTCGCAGACCGCAAATATTTGTAAAAGATATATTAAAACATTTAGGTGGTGGGGATGGTTTTTTAGGTTTAAAATTTTTGGTTACTTTGGTCATGATTTGGGTTTAATGAGAACTTGACTCATTCATAGATAGAGCAGAGCCTCCAAATCAATGAGCTATGCAGTTGTCTCAGTCCTGTTAATTAACCCTAAGCCGTGACATAGGGCTCCTTATGTGGCCTTGACAATGCACATTAAAAGCATTAACAGGGACACCATCCATGCGCAACATGGCACTGTTAATACTCTGATATTTTGCAGCTGTTGATAGAATCAGCCTCTTTGAGAGCTACCACAGAGTTTGGGAAACCTTACTACCAGCCGGCCTCAGAACCATTAAATTGAGTTTTAGAGCTGTACCCTCATATGGAGATAACAGGAAGATTTGCATAGCCATTATCAAGGAGGCATAAGCAAAGTTCTATGAGTAGAGTCAAGGAGATCCAGCATTCATCATCCTAGGCAGGAAACAATGTAACACAGGTTACATCTACGCCAGCCTAATAGATGAAGAAGGGGTTCGAGCAGAATTTTTCTGCTTACCCCTAAAGTCTTTGCCGAGGAGGCCTTCTACAAGACAGTAGCTGGATGCAGTTAACATCTGCCCAAGATGAGTATTTTTATCGAAACACCATCTCTAGCCTTTACTCAACCAAGAGCCCCAAGGCAGGGGATGTTTAGCTGGATGCAGTTAACATCTGCCCACGATGAATGTTTTTATCAAGACACTATCTCTAGCCTTTACTCAACCAAGAGCCCCAAGGCAGGGGAATTTTTAGTCGGAGCTTATTTCTCCTAGCCTTTGCCTAAGAAGAGCACACTCTGCAAGGCATCAGGGCTTGTGGCAGGTGGTACTGGGTTACGTGATACCAGTAGCAAGATTGATCTTGATTATCTTGACCTGACCTGGAGTAGTTAAAAGGAGTTACTTCCCGCAACAGTACTTTGAGAAAACCAGGCATGGCATTTTGGAAGTGCATTAGGAAAAACACTGCATCTAACAAAATCTAGTCTAAGGTGAGTGTAGGTTTCTAAGGAGTGTAGGAGTCTAGGTTTCTAAGGAGTGTAGGAGTCTAAGGTGAGTGTAGATTTTGTAGTTGGAGTAAGTAGCTAGTTACTGAGCTCACGCTGCATCAGAGAATAAACAGAGCACAAACAAACATAAATCAACTTACAATTAGTTATTAATAAGTTATTACAATTAACTTATTATTAGTTATATAATTATATTATAACTATATAAACTTTTTAAGGCGTTTTTTTTTTTCAATTAGCCTTCTTATTTTTTTATTTTTTAGTGGCGTACCTAACATCAATGGTAAGGTTATATTTTTTTAAAAATAGTTATAATCAATTAAATTGTTATATAACAATAAACCACACATGATTTAAAGATATTTTTTTTGGTTATCTCTATTTTATTTAGAAATATTTAACATACCATTGAGTAACAACATCTTGTTACTCAAGTATAAATTATATATTTTTTAATATTTATTAAAAGCTTATTACGGTTAACACAACATTATTTGATAACTTTTTTTAAGTAAGCTTAAGGCGTGTAATTGTTGTAACTATTTTTCAATTAACTTTATTACATTGCTTTACATTCTCAAACTATAGTCAAATAAAAAATGTTACTGTAATGATTATTTTTAAACGCTTGTTTTTGTACTGAATTTAGACGATATTTCGTCTGACTTTTTTTTCTCGTAAACTGTGGGAAGTTCCCAAAGTTCATGGGAAAAAAAATCTGACGAATAATCGTCTATGTTGTATTATGCTTGTACAAATAGATTAGTATGTTAAATGTAACACCAAATATAGCTCTAATGTGGTTAGTTTATTTATTTTTTTTCAAATTAACGCCAAAGCAATTGAGCAAATATAACCAGGAGGCTGAATTAGCGCGAATTTCATAAGTGCGAAGTGCATAAGTGCAAACTGGGACTTATGCCAGTTCTAATATTTGCAAATTCTTTTGGCGCACTTATCCCAGTTTTTGTAACTATTTCACGCTTATGTTAATATTTGCAAATTTGTACGGCGCACTTATGCCAATTTGCACATACGCCAGTTTTTGGCAACGTTTCGCACTTATGCCAAGTTTGCACATATGATATTTGCGCTAATTTAGTCGTCCCAATATAACGGATAATAATAATGCCAATATAACGGATAACTAGCGTTATACTTGCTCAACTGTGGTATCATATATTTTTTGTAACTTTGGCGTTAGTTTTATTTTGTGTGCGCAGGAGAAAACAAGCTGGTTAATTTCACATGCTTGTCAAATGAAAATATATTCAAGCCAGATTTCATCAAATAAATATTCTTTTACAAAGATGAAAAATCTCATGAAACAAAACCCCGAGGTCAGTGATAAGCACCAATTATTAGCACACGCAATCAAATGTTAATGAAAATCTACAAGAAATTGAAAACATATTTTAACTTGTTAGCAATGAAGAAACTAGGAGCAACGCACTATGACAAGTTTCACACAAAAAAATTTAATTAAACCATTTTTATTCATTGCGTGACTCATTGCCAAAAACTGATTTTAACAATGTATATCATTGTTGAGCGTCATTTTTTAGTGTCTAATTCATTGCCTAGTTTTCTTGAATACATGACGAATTAATTATTTTATTTATTAGAGAATTGTTCCAAATGTTGTCTATGTAGTTAATACCAGAGCATTTTAAAGTTCTTCTATATAAAATTATATATAACTATAGAAAATTCTACTCAAGTTAGTTACAGAAAACAAAAATGCATTGAAAAAATAATAAAAATTGTAACTATGTTATTGAAATACCTGAGTATAAAATACCAAGTATTAAAAAAAAAATTAGGATTTTAATAAAGCAAAATATTTATACAAATGTTTTGTTAATAGTGTAATATTCGGAGTTTTTCAACGATATCAAAGATTTCGACGATATTAAAAAACTGAAGATTAAAAATAACATATACAAAAAATCGAAATTAAAAAAAAAATCTAGTAAATAAGACTGTACATAATAAAAGAAAATAAATAAAATAAATTTACACAGCATAAAAGCTACTACAACGTCAACAACAACAAAAATTAAAAAAAAAATATTTTAAGGAAAAATTTTTCTAAAACTTTAAAAAAGATTAAAAAAAAAAAAAAATTAAAAAAAAGGACGGAAATTTTTTTTCATGCAATTCGTAAAACTTCTTATACAAAACGCATGCGCAAACATGTAAATATTAGATTAAATATGACAACAAGGTGAGAAAATATTTAAAACAATAATAAAAATAATTTATAAAATATCTTCTCGTCCTCGCTTATTTACATTACTATGCTAACTAAAAAGTTGAACTTCATTTGAAAATATTTTTTTTCTCTTATTCAACGATCAGCTGTAACTATAGTAACCGAAATTTGTTGAAATTTCAGTGTTTCTTAAATTGCTAATATAGTTGAAAAACTCAAGACACGTGCTCTTCTGGAGTCTCTTGAGGTTGATTGCCATACATAGGATTTTGAAAAGTGGAAGTGGCTTGCTTAAAGATCGGATTCTCTCCCTGAATAAATAACAATTGCGTTAATAAACACAAATCGAGAAAAAAAAAAAAACTTGAGAAGAAAATTTTGAAAAATGAGAAAATTTTTACAGTGTTCCATTTTGCATTCTTGGTTTCTTTATCGAAACGAGCAAACTCGCGTCGATCCTAAATATTTGAATAACGACTTCAATATTTGTATAACGACATCATTCAACTAAAAACTACTTCAGTACACAACTCGAATTAAAAAACTCAAGCTAGCGACCTGAAACTAATGCATACCTGAATAGTAGCCAAGAGCTTCCATATCAGTAACAAAGCCAAACCTATTCCCACAATACCAGCTATTACTCCAAGAATGATAGCCAAAATGTCAGGTTCAGCAGGGCAAACTAGTCAATAAAAATATAAACAATTATTTGTGCACCAATACCAGTAAACCTAAGCAAATGTAACATTATGACGAAGGTGTGTACAAAGTAAATATATAGTTTGTGTATGAACAGTTAACAAATAGTATCTGTTATGTAAGTTAGAGTGTATAAATTTTATTTAAAAAAAAAAAGTCATACAAACAACAATTGATTTCATTATTTTAATATTTAATATATATGCATTTATAAGTGATATTATTTTAATGTTTATATTATATATGCATATAATATATATGCACTTAATAATATATATATATATATACATATATATATATATATATATATATATATATATATATATAATATATATATATATATATATATATATATATATATATATATATATATATATATATTCTTAAATTCCTCTCAAATTCAAATTAATAAAACATTGATTAGATGCACATTTAAATGGTTTCGAAAAAAAACTAAAATGTATACAAACTTAAATTAGTTATCATTAAGTGAATTAAAGGGACCTAATTGCTTTATAACAGTCAACAACAAATTCATTTGCAAAACCTTAAGCCGCTATTTTCAGAATGTTTTTGCTAAAGAGCAGACTGGTTTATTCAAACACCCTTTTTATTACAGATAGGTTTATGTTTGATGAATCAAGCATACCCCTATCTGTTATAAAAAAAACCTAATTTTCAATCCATGATATCTAATCGTTTTCTATGTAAAAGTATGCGTTGTTCAAAAATTTTAAATTTATGCTCTTCAAACATATATATTACATTTACTCTAATAAACAAAACCCTGCATTCAAAACTATGTAAAACTTTACAATTGTATCACTATCTAATTTTTACTGAAGAACAACACCTTTTTTTTCAAAGAGATGATGTCTGACAAATTTTCTTGAATTCCACAATATTCTAACAGAAGCAGTACACTGAGCCGGTGTTCAATGTTCATTCACCTGTAAGTTACTATATATGTTTGTACTAAATGTAAGGTACTATATGTAAGTGTCTGAACCTCTGGCACAGTGTTTGCTTACCCATAAATAACTATATGTATGTTTGTGTTTTGCTTAAATTTCTGATACAGTGGGAGCTCAGTTACCAACTAGTGACTCTTAATATAAAACTTATGCTCACCTTTTTCTAGAATTCTGTTAGATGTAGTGTTTTTCCTAATGCAAGAACTGCTTACAGGAAATAATTTCTAACTCTGAGTAAGGTGATCATGATGATTCTGAACCATCATCATGATGATCAGCCTACTACTGGCATTATGTAACAGTTTTTTTTAAGCAAAGTCTAGGAGCAAAAAAAAAAGACTTCCCAGCCTTAAGGCTCATGGTTAAGTAAAGGCTAAAGATGGCGTCTGGATAAAAATACTAAATCTTGGGCAGATGTTAACTGCACCCAGCCAAAATTCCCCTGCCTCATGCTCTTGGTTAAGTAATAGCTAGAGATGATGCCTTGATTTTTAGCAAATATTAACTTTTGGTAGCTCTCAAAGAGGTTGATTCCAAACAGCTTTAAAATATCAAAGCATTAACAGTGCCATGCTGCACATGTGCTGTGGATAGTGTCCACTATGAATGAATCAAATTTTCTTTAAATTTAAACCATAACCAAAAATATTAAACATAAAAAATCATCACCAGCACCTAGCTGTTTCAAAATATCTTCCAAAAATACTCATGATCTTTGAAGTAACTTTACATCAGTTGCATCTTCCCTTTTTTTTTTTACCAGACTAATTTAAATCAAACTGTTTCATCTTCAGATCTCCGTATTGAAGGGAACTATCCTTTGACTAGCAAAGACTTTATCAATCACATGCTTGGCATATACTTATGCATCAATTTACCTATATATTGAAAAATCAAGTTTGAAATTATGTGCTTTATATGCTTCCACTTAGCCCCTCTTCACTCAATCACCTTTCTCTTTGTTCTTTGTTTTCCTTCTTTTTAAGACTGCACTCTTTAAAATTTAACTTCTAATCAAATTGACCATGCTCTTTTTCTTTTCCCCTGTCAATATTGTTGTTATTGGTGACTTTATTATTCATTACACTAAATGGTTTGGCTCTAACACCACTAAGCATTTCTCAATTTCTGACTCAGATAGCTTACTCAGATAGCTTACTCAGCTTACTTAACTTTGTGACTTATTTTCGAGACAACCTTAATCACTTACCTGAACTGCTGTGACTGAAAGGTTCTATCATGCATAAGATAGAGGCGGTGATTCTAGGGCTATTTCTCTTGACGTATCTAAAGTTTTGCATGCTGGTTTTCTCCATAAGCTTACTTTATATAATGTATCTAGGAAAATTTTTGAGATTAACAAACCATTTCTAACTGCTTTATTTCATTTTTGAAGACTAACACTCCTCTTTATTTTAACTTCTGGGATACCTCCTTTTAATCCTGGTCCTGTTTTGTTTCTTATCTGCATCAATAGTAACTTAACCAATTAATCATTCATTAATCATTAAGGTTAATTTAAGTTAAGGTTTACCGTATCATTAATGATGAACCTTAACTCCTTTCTGCAGAATTTGTCATGGAAAGATTTACCATACTCTTTGATCTTAACATATTTCCTGATAAAGAACTTTTTGCTTTATCAGTAATAGATTGTCTAGAACCAGTCACTTCCAAATGTTTTTAATCCAGCTATTACTATTGTTTATGTTTTAGCTTTTACCCATTCATTTCCATGTCTGACATCAAACTACACCTGTAGTGTGTTGCATTTTTAACTTTAAAAAAAAACTGACAGTTTAATAGTCAACTATCCAGTGTTGCTATTAACATCAATCACCAAACAAATTTAAAAAATAAAGACTGTTTATGATGGCTGGATCAAAAAAGTCTGTTAAAGGACATAAATGTCAAGGTCAACATACCTAAACACTTACAGACACTCATAAACACTCACAGACACTCATAAACACTCACAGACACTCATAAACACTCACAGACGCTCAAAAACACTCACAGACACTCATAAACACTCACAAACACTCACAAACACTCACAGACACTCCTGTTGAAAATAAACTAAACAAGATTAAATAAAAAAATAAAAAAATAAAATTATTTAGAAAAAAAGCAATAAAAGAAAAAAGAAAATTTCATGTTGAAAGTGATGAAGACATTTTTCTTATTAGATATTGTATTTGAATATAACATTTGAACAAATTGTTTAGTATTTTAGTTTTTAATTTAACTTTTCTACTTAAAGATATTGTAAAGAAGTTCTACTCAAAGATAATGTAAAGATGTTCTACTCAAAGATATTGTAAAAAAGTTCTACTCAAATATAATGTAAAGAAGTTCTACTTAAAGATATTGTAAAGAAGTTCTACTTAAAGATATTGTAAAGAAGTTCTACTCAAAGATAATGTAAAGAAGTTCTACTTAAAGATATTGTAAAGAAGTTCTACTCAAGATATTGTAAAGAAATTCTACTCAAAGATATTGTAAAGAAGTTCTATTCAAAGATATTGTAAAGAAATTCTACTCAAAGATAATGTAAAGAAGTTCTACTCAAAGATATTGTAAAGAAGTTCTACTCAAAGATATTGTAAAGAAGTAATTTTGCACTTTAACAACTGGGAAAAAATCGAGACTTGTAAAAAATTTTTTTCTTTTTATAATAATAATAGACTTGTCGTAAAGGTAATAATTGAATAAAGAAATTATTTTGATCACTTTAAATTTTAATATAAATTTTAAAGAATTAAACAACTCTGACAAACTCTTACATTGTTTTAATGACTCAATGTTTGTCATTACAAGCCATACTTGAAAATATAGTTGTTTGTGGTGTGAAGGAGAGTTTTTTCGATTGTGGAGTAAAACAAACTCTTGGTTTTCTTGATTATCAATACAATAAATACGAAGAAGCTGGAATACCAAAATCAAAGATAGCTAATTATAAAAATGTTATAAATCCAAGAGGTTTTATATCTTAAAGATAATCCAGAAACAATTATAGATAATTTAGTTTCACTACATGAGTTGCATATATTAATTAGAATAGTTACAACTTTTAAAAATCTTTAATCAAAATTATGACCTGGCTTTGAACAATCATTAAACTTAAATTATATATTTTCAAGAGATTACTACGGCATTGGGATGGCAATGATGCCAAGTGACTTTTAGATAAGTTAGATGTTCTTGCTAGCCATATTGCTGATCAAGGAAAACTTGATTTATTTCCAGTTATTGAATGTTTAAGAAAAATTCAAGCAATGAAGCTACCTTAGGAGAAAAAATTATTAGTGATATTGAATCTGCTGTTATGGAATTTAGGACTAATTATGCTAATTTAATGGAATATATTAATCGTTACTTAAAAAATTTCTATGGAGGTTCTCAATAACCTTACTTAATTTAACGACTGTGTTATTTCTTGATAACAAAAAAAAATTGAGTGTGTTCAAACCTGGCAATCGCTGTGATTCACAGTGGCAACTGTGTACTGTAGCTGTTATGTACTGCTGCTATTATATACTGTTGTTATCATGTACTACTACTTCAGAGCTTCAAATAAAAACATCTATTTAGTAAATTGCCTTGATAGATTTTTAAGATCATGGTTGCATACTATTCTTTAGTTACTTTTGTAATTTTTTTAAAATTATTAAATTTAATGTGTTTCCACAACTGAATTATTAGTATAAAATTTATATAAAACTACCAAATCAAATACATACTAAAAAATGCAACATCTAAGTATTTAAAAGTATTAGTATTACTAATAATTAATAAAAACAACTATAGTAAAATAATAAATATAATACAATAATAGTAAATATCCAATGAAAAAAATAATTTTTATTAATTTTCAATTGTACTATATATTTAGCCTACCCAAATTCATTACTGATAAATCCAAATCCATCAGTACTAAAGTCCTTACCTATCCTTATTTCATTTTGACATTATCAATTTTATTTAGGTTTAAGGCTACAGCCTGAGATTCTTATTACAAAAGAATATTCACTTACTTCTTTCACGTTGTACCAAAAGCTCTATTTCTCCAGTGATATTATTTTTATTGTATGAAAATACAAAAGAGCAATCATCTTCATCACGAACAATACAGCGACGTACTAAATATGTACAACAATGTATTAAAACAATGTAGTAACATACTAAATATGTACAACAATATATTAAAACAATACAGTGGCGTACTAAATATGTACAACAATGTATTAAAACAATACAACAACATACTAAATATATAAAACAATGTATTAAAAAACAGTGACGTACTAAATATATACAACAATGTATTAAAAAACAGCAACATACTAAATATATACAATAATGTATTAAAAAACAGCAAACAGAAGTTTTAACTAAAGTTGATTGAACTGTTATTAGAATGATACTTTGAGTGATACTATTAGAATGAAGTTTTATAAAAAAAATCATACACTTTTAATTTAAATTATTTTATTATAATTTCATCTATAATAATATTGATCACTTTTTACCCACAAGTCATACTATTTCCAACAGAATACAACATACATATATATATATATATATATATACATATATATGTATATATACATATATATATATACATATATAAATAAATATATATATATATATATATATATATATATATATATATATATATATATATATATATATATATATATATATATATATATATATATTATATATATGGTTCGAGTAACTTTTTAATTAAAAAAAATTTTTTTTTACATTATAAACAACATAAAACCTTCAGGGACTTTATCTTGCAGCTTAAAAGAAGAAATGTTCCATTTAGCACATTCTAGTTCACACTGTTCTTTGTTTAAATCACTTGTATCAAATACTTTGCATTTGACACATTCTCTAAAGTCTTGACAAGCATCTGGACAGTTCTAAAACAATTCAAAATTTTATCCATTAAAAATCTGTTTTTTTAACAATTCTAGTCAGCAGTTCTTATTTTAATATAAGATTTTAATCTAAATTGAAAACAGTAATTACCGAAACACATTCTTGACATAAATCACCAATGTAACCAGCATTACAAACACAATTATTGCACTTACAGGTGCCTTTTCCACTGCATTCCACCTAAATAAATATTTAATATGGATAAAAATAAAATCAATTAAATGCTTGTAAAATAAAATGATAAAAAAAAATTGTACCCCATCATTATTCATGCACATACTTGTGCCTTTATCACATTGCTCTTCACATGCATTTCCTTGCCAATTTGCATTACACAAACATTTTCCACAATCACACATTCCTCTATCTGGTCCTCCGCATAACTTTCCACCATTAGATCTTCCACATGTTGTATTACTACATTGACATTGATCACCATAGATGTGATCAATTTCACCAAACTCATTTAACTATTTTAAAAAAAAATATATATATATATGTAAAAAGTACATGGATATTTTACCATAAACTAAAATTTTATTTTTATAATGACATTTATATAATTATAAATGTATATATATATATATATATATATATATATATATATATATATATATATATGCAATATTTTATAAAAAGCATTTATTTAACTCATCATGATAATGCTTTTTTTATATGTGTACATTTCATATTTTAGTGTATGTAGTTTGATAACATTTTTGCTTTATATAAAAAAAGCATAAAAATTTTAGTAATTTTTTATAAACTTCCCAGACTCAAAAATCACTAAATAAAACAAACAACTCGGGCAGTACAACTTAAAAAATATTCAGTTACAAAATAAAATAACCCTTTTTAATTTAAAAAAAGGTTTTTTAAAATGAATTTTTTTTTTTTAAACATCTTCGCGTCCAACAAGGCTGCAAGCAACCACTAATTAGTCTTGGAAGTTACTGGAAGAGAAAAGATGAGGATTGTGGAGCAAGATAACGATTGAAAGACGACTTAAAAGATTGCAAATTATATGAATCAGGAAAGCAAAATGAAGGAAGCGAATTCCAAAGAACAGATGTTTGAGGGAAAAAACTAGACAAATAAGAGTTTTTGGAGCACTTAGGAACAATAACAGAAAAAGGATGAGACTTAATTGAATGATGAGTAACACAAGAATGAATTTTAGTAGATGGTACAAGAGACGCTAGCTCTTTAGAGCATTATAGTATTTGAATATATATATTTGAATATATATATATATATATATATATATATATATATATATATATATATATATATATATATATATTTAAATATATATACATATATACATATATATATATATATATATATATATATATATATATATATATATATATATATATATATATATATATATATATATATATATATATATATATATATATATATATATATATATATATATATATATATAATTGAGAAACTAAACATAAACTGTATAGTTTCTCAATTATATTTTAATTAACATTAATGTTAATTAAAACATAAAAAGCATAATGTTCACTGTTCTTTAATTTCATGTAATTAAAACTAATTAAAAACTTACCATGCCTTTATTGCAAATACATTCGCCACACTCGCAATCACCTTTTCCGCTACAAACAGACTCAACATTTGGCACTCTAAATAAACAAAAATTAGCTTTTTTTAAATAACTTTCTCTTTTTTATTTTAATTTTTGTATAATAACCTCCTCTTCATTACAGTATATCTTAAAACCTAATAAAAGATTAAAAAATTATGGAAAAAGCTGCCTATTAACAGTTGCAAGAAATACCAAACCAATATTTTTATGACACCCAGTTTGAATATTGTAAAAGAAAATCAACACAGTCAGGGGTAACACTGGTTACAGACGATGTAAGGAAGAGTACCCATGAAGGAAATCTTGTTGGCAGTTTATTTATTGATTTAATGAAGACTTTTGACACTATAAACCTCAATATCCTTAATAAAATGAAAACATATGAAATAACTGGATAATAAAAAAATAACGAAATAAACGAGTATAAGGGGTATAATCAACACAGTGAAGTTTTACAAATACTGAGAATGTAAATATGGTCAAGGTATAATTAATACAGTTAAGTCCTACAAATACTGAGGATCTAAATATGATCATGGTATAACCAACACTGTGAAGTCCTACAAATACTGAGAATGTAAATATAATCATGGTATAATCAACACAGTGAAGTCCTACAAATGATGTAAATTGGATCCAACACTATCATTAAATAATAATTTTAAAGATAAAAAAAATTATCTTAATGATTTGTAGGACTTCACTGTGTTGATTAAACTCATCAAATGAGTTTTGCAACAAAATTTTAAAAACTTAGGCATGTTTTCAAAAAAGTGTTTAAATAATGATTTTTATGAGAATTCTACAAATGAAATTATTAAGCATACGAAATGTACAAAGCATATTATCGAAGGGATCCCCAAGTGTCGAGACAAGTCGTGTTTATTTTTTTCTTGCTATATTTTGCTGTTAAAGAATATTTACAATTACAAAGTACATGAATAAAAGATTTACATGACCAGGACAAAAATAAGACAATGATTGTCTAATCGCTAAGTTGAAAAATAGTCTTATCACTAGTCAACACTAACAATAGTCAAAAATAAAATAAAATCAAGTTAATATTGATGTTAAAATGTTGATGAGAATGTTTTAAATGTTGAACTTTTAAAACAAAATAATAAACATATACCAAGAAAAGTTAATTGATGCTATATGATAATTGATGCATAATTGATGCATATATGATAATTGATGCATATATGTAAAAGAATAGATCAAAGAAATTTGGTGTTTTTTTATTTATTTAAAGTACTTTATTAAAGTTTTAAATCAATGGAGACTTTGAATCAATTATAGATTATGTATGAAACTTTACGCTATAATCAGTTGCCTCAATGCTAATCAACCACTACAAAGTTGTAACAGACACCTTATGTGGCCTTAACAAAAGTTCCAGGAACCTTACTATTACCACAGAACCATTAAACTGCATTTTAGAGCTATACACTCAACAAGAGATTCAAACAAAAAGAGTTGCATAGCCACAACCAAGGTGATATATACAAAAACTTATGAGTAGAGTTGAAAAGATCTATTATTCACAATCATAGGCAGGAAAAAATTAACTATTGTTTACAACTTTAAAATCAATTTTTATCATTTTGTTTGTTTTTAAAATATTTATTTTATATATTTTTATTAATAAATATTTTTTATAAATATTTATAAGATTTTTTTTGTAACTATTTGTATATTTTTATGTTTTGAAAATTGTAATTTGTGTAATATAATTAATTTGTGTAATATAATTAATTTGTGTAATATAATTAATTAGTTGTGTAATGCATTGTTTATTTTTTTACATTGTTTTATTTAATAAAAAAAGGAGATTTTTTAAAAAGCTTTAAAATCTTTAATATTACTTAAAAATTCATTTATTGTACATTAAACACACCTGCAAAGAGTTTGGTTGTTTGCTTCTTCCAAAGTACACTGACAAAATCGTCCAGCAAATTTTTCCCTTTAAAAAACAAGATACTTAATAAACAAAAAATACTTGTTTCATTATGACAAGATAATTATTTTTTACAAAAACTTAAAAAAAAAACTAATTGGAAATAATAAGTAACGAAAAAAAATAAAAAAAAATAAAAAAAAATTAAATGAATGTTCAACTATTTAAACTATTAAAAATAAACTATTTTGACAAAATAATTATTTTTTACAAAAACTTAAAAAAAAAAAAACTATTTAGAAATAATAAGAAATAACAACAACAACAAAAAATTAAATGCTTTAAACAATGTTAAACTATTTAAACTATTTATTAAAAATATATTAAAAATTAACTATTTTAAAATAGTTAATAAAATAATCTTAAAATTTTAGTATTTTTTTTTTATCTCATTGTATTTTTTCTGATGGGTGAGAAAATTATTAAATAAAATATAAAAAAAAAATTTAAATGCTTTAAACAATGACTTTTAAAAATAGTTAATAAAATAACAATTATTAAAATTAATAAATGTTAATGATATTTAGTTGCATCATCTACCCTGATGTAACACTATCTGTTTTTATTATTACATTTCCCAGGTCTATCTAACTAGATAGTTTATTTAGTAACCTATTTGTAATTATTGTGTTGCATAAACAAATATAAATATATTGTTTGTGACTGGTGAGCCTTAACTTTTTCCAATGTACATTACAATAAAAAACAGACATTAGACTATCCTGCTGGATGTGGTTACGGTGCTAATGAGTATGCTAAAACTCAAGCACACATGTGGTTACGGCACTAATGAGTATGCTGATACTCATGTAAACATTCATTCGAAAGCTCCACAATATCCATCAAATTTGCGCTCGCTGACTATGCGGTTCTAAAATCTCACTCATAGCACATCATTTGACACCAGTACAGGGTCTTAACTCTTTTGGCTAAGAGTGAAGGACTGTGATCTACGGTGACTAATGTGTGTATTTGATCAATTGAAATCCATTCAGTAGGTCTTACACCTGGCCCTGATGTGCTAGCTCACAAGCGCAATAAGTAAGTGTGTTAAACTCTCTACTTACCTGACTAGAAAGTGGACAAAAACCTAATGAGACAATATCAGACAACCAAATGGAACCTATTAATGTACCAAATCATCACACCTGTAGACATCAGCAGTCTCTAATATCAATAAATCAACAACACTATCTACAATCTGTTTTTTTATCACATCTTCCAGGTCTACATTAATGATCTGCTCCGTTAGTCAAATATATGCGATTATTGTGTCACACCAACAAATAAAAATTAATGGTATTATTTTTATATCTCATGGTATCTTTTCTCATAGGTGAGAAAACTATATGATGAAATGCAAAAAAAAAATTAAATGCTTTAAATAATGACTTTTAAAAATAATTAATAAAATAATCTAAATAAATGGTATCTCATCGAATCTCTTCTCATGAGTGAGAAAACTATTCAATGAAATATAAGTAAAAGTAAACTTAAAAAAAATAAATAATAATAATTCTTTTTGATGAAATATAATTAAAATAATAATAGTAAATCTGAATAAAAATAATAACAATAAATAAAATAGATAAACTAAAAAAAAAAAAAATTCTTTGATTGTTTTAGTTCATAAAAAACTCTTCCAGAGTTTATAAAAAATCTCTTACATTACTTCAATTAGTATAGTGAACACTTTTATGACCAAATTTTTTAGCCTTTTTCCAAATCCTATGACAGCCATTAGCCAAATTATTTTAAAAACCAAGATCAACATTTATTTTTTTTATTACTTTGTAGTTTGTAGACATAAACATCAGTAGCTAATAGAAAACATCAGTAGCTCTTATGTCTATAGGCTGCATAATACTTCCCAACTAAAATCACTAATTTTATCAACAACCCTCGGAATTATGAAAAATGAGGTCGGCAATAATTTGCTGACCTCAATATTTTTGAGGTCGGCATCAGGTCGGCAAAAATTATTTGATACAATGGTCTGACCATAAAAAATAGAAACAAGGTCAGCAATTTTTTGCCAACCTCAAACACTTTCAGGTCAGCAGTTAGATCAGCATTGCTGAATGCCGACCCTAACTCCAAGGGTTATATCAATATATTCTACATATTAATTATTGTAGAGATAGTATATTCACTATGTTCTACAAACATAAGGCTATTACATGTATGGAAAATTGGTATTTTATCTCTTTTTTTCTCTTTTCTTTTAAATTGAATATCAATTAAATATTACTTTTCATCTCCAATAAAAAACGATAATATTATCAAAAAGAAATCTTTTTATAAAATTAAAAAAAAAACATAAAAATTCATCATAACAAATCCTTATTCTGAATGAACTCATTCAGAATGATACAGAATAACAAGAATGTCCCAAAACAACTTGAACATATATGAAACTTACTTGTCACAAAAACAAAGATATGAAACTCAAACTTGTCACAAAAACAAATATGAAACTCAAACTTACTTGTCACAAAAACAAATACCACAACTCAAATTTCCTCTTTTACTACATTGCTCACTATTTTGAATCTAAAAAAAAAAAATTTATCTATGCGAAAATAAATAAATAAATAGCTTAGTAAATACAAAACATAATAATAAAATATAATGTATACAAGTATAACAGTATCGTGATTAGTATCAAATTTAAACAGACTTACGCTTGTATTTCCACATGGACATTCACATATAACTTGTAATTTCACGCTTACGTCATCAAAGCTTGTTTTGATTAAAAAACTGAAAAAGAAAAAAAAAAACACTTGGCATAACAAAGATTTTTAAAAATTTATACTTTAATTACTGTCATAATAAAAAAAAATCTCACTGAGGAAAAAAAAAACTCAAACTAGAAATAGAAATGGGTTTAACAGGCTTGGGTTCATTCAATTCTACCCGACTCCATATACCTTAAATTGAATAATTTTTGAAAAGTAATGAGCTCACTCTAGATCTTTTTCTGCGTTGCTGCAGTCACTTGTTTTCATCTCAGCACTAAATGTCACCTTAAATGATTATCAAATATATATATATATATATATATATATATATATATATATATATATATATATATATATATATATATATATATATATATATATATACATATATATATATGTGTATATATATATATATATATATATATATATATATATATATATATATATATATATATATTATACATACATACATATATATATGTATATATATATATATATATATATATATATATATATATATATATATATATATATATTTATATATATATATATATATATATATTATATATATATATATATATATATATATATATATTTATATCAGTCTTCTCTGTTTGAAATTTAATGCCAGCACACGAAAAAACGCTGACAAGATGGTCATTTTTAAGTTAGCCTGCGCGATATAAAAATTCATTTTTATCTGCTATTTAAATTAAAATAAAAATTGTGAAAAGAATGTATTGAATAAATACTAGATAAAACAATTGTAAAAAAAACTTCAAAAAAAAAGAAGCTGCATTTCTTAAAAGTTAAACAAATGAACAAAAAAGGTTTTGTTGCAATTTAAAACAAAATGCTTTTATTTTTTGAGCAAGTGCATTTTTATGCGCTTGTTTAAGTTTATGCAAGTGTGTGGATGAGTGCAAAAAGAATTGAGCGTGACAGCGCTGGCTAAATGGAGAAGATCGATATATATATATATATATATATATATATATATATATATATATATATATATATATATATATATATATATATATACATATATATATATATATATATATAGATATATATATATAGATATATATATATAGATATATATATATAGATATATATATATATAATATTTTTAATTGGCATTTATAAACCATACATTAAAAAAAAAAAAAAAACCTGCTCTCCAATATCAACATCATTACAAAAAGATTGATCCAATGTAAGCTTCCCTTTACTATATTAAAAAAATAGTGAAAAAAACTGTTTTTAGATTTTAAAATACTTGATAGCCCTTAATAATATCAAAAAAAAATTACTGAATACAAGCCTTCCCAGAAAGAGCGTGCAGTTGCACACCTTGTTTGTCCACGCTTAAATTAACTTTTTAGACAACTTGACGACATTTTTATATAGCAAAAGTTTTAAGAGTTTGTGGCAAAATAAAGCTATAAGAAACTAAAGAATAAAACAGCATTACTCAAAGAAAAGAACCGAAGACTATACAAAATAGAAAATCTAAATAAAATTAGCTAAAAAAATGGAATATTAAAAAAAGAAAATTGTTTTCAAAAACATAATATACCTAAATATTTTACTTTTTTTGTTTTCTTATTTTTAGGACATTTGTTATTTTCCACTACCAAAATTGATACTTTATTATTAACGCTAGAAACATCGACAATTTTTAAATTTGTTTTTTTAAATGTCTTTGCTAAACTTTACTGTTTTTATCAATGCACAGAAAAGCGAGAAAACAAACTGCTAAATTATTTTTTATAAAAAAAATTTTTAACAAGTTTTTCATGTAAAAAAATAAAACAATGTTCCAAAACCTTGTGGACTAGTACATTGTTAATTTACTGATTTTTAATGAAATTTTTAGGAGCCTATTTAAAACTTTTTTTTAAGCTTTTAAATTTTTTTAAACAGCAATTGTTACGTTCATTATCTCTAGTAATTCATATTAACATTGGAAATTGGTAAATATAAAGGAAAAATTTACAGACATGCATCAAACGCGGGAAATGCTGTGTTATTCTTTTATTTAACTTATTTCGTTATTACAAAATTTATTAATAAAATAATAATATTTGCAAATAAATAACAATTTATTTTCTTATTTTTCTATTATATAAGTATTGAGAAAAAACGTCAAATACAGCAAAATTATATTTTTAAAAGCAAAAAAAAGTAAAAACGAATAAACTTAATAAATGAATAAATGTAAGAAAAAAAATTAACAAAATTTCTTATAGTTCTAGTGTACATAGCAAATAGGTATCTTTACTATATGGGCTGATAAAATTTGTGAGTAAATTGCATATGAAAACTTTCATTTGTTGTTAAATCGTTATAAAAGTGAATGTTTAACAAAGACTCTAAAAAAAAGAATACAAAAGTTGCATAAAAAATTTATAAAAAAAAGAAAAAAAAAATTTTGTTTACTTTTCTTAATAATTAAATTTTCTAGTTTATTTAATTAAACTTGATATTTCGTTACAATTTTATTTCCTTTTTTAAAGATTGTGTTTTTTTCTTAGTAGATTAGTTTAGCTTTTTGCCGCAAATTATTAAAACGCTTTATAAGTTAAAAGATGCGAACTGTCATGGTCAGTTTGTCTAAAAGAATTACTTAAAACATGGACGAACAAGGCGTGTGATTGTATACGTTCTCGGGAAGACTTGTTAATAAGTAGGTCAACCTGTCAATCTCAAAAAATCTTGTTATACTATAAACTGTTTTGTTTAGCCTTGTTTTTGTTAACCATTTTGTTAACCTTGTTTTATTTAGATTTTGGTTATTGATTATTTATTGATTGATTTTTATAATAAATTATAGTGGTTTATTATTTATATTTTTTTAGTCTATTAATATTTCTTTATAAAGTCCTCCACTTTTAAATTCTTTTTAGCTTATTTTTAATAGTAAAATGTCTTTTCAAGATATAAAAGGATCATTCAATGCAGAGTAGAGCAATTATGGACCATCTCAAAAACTGCAAAAACTCATTGATTTGGTATATATATATGAGAATAGAATGTGGAAAAATGTTAGATTAATATCTAATGTGGTTCTTAAAAAAAACATTACTTAAACAGTGTTTAGCATAAAATTTCCTTCTTTAAGCAAAATGGCTTCTTTTTTTTTTTTTACTATATTCAACAGTCTATAACTTTTGATTCTATACTTAAATTTTTTTTTTAAGTAAATATGCTATCAATACATTTTTTAGATAAACAAAAAATCTAAACTACAGATAAACATTTTAGATAAACTCTGTTGATTTTAATTTCTTATTCAGAAATCATAAGTGTCTGACGTCGATTTTTTTTGTCTGACGATTTTTTTTCTGTAGTACAGTCTCAGGGATCCATTCAAGACTCTGGAATTCCAGCATTTTTTTTTTCTTTTTTTTACTGTTAAGGTGCTCTAACAATAAAATAATATTCTTGTCACAGACCACCAAAGCAGAATATTTAACACAAAGTTCACATCTTCCTTACCAATGCCGGTTATTTGACGAGATTTGGCATCAGTTTGGAATTCTCTAATATACTTTTCAAATCATTTTAAAAGTTAAACTTGCAGATAAATATTTTCTGATGCACAATTTAAATCAAAAGCAAATTGTGACACGCAAAATGTCACCTAACAAATGTTTGCTGAGATAATAATAAAAACCTTTAACAAGAGAAAAAAATAAATTTTTATGCAGAGTTAGCTAGAGCAATTCAAAATTAAATTTCCTTTCATAAAAGTTGCTACAGATAGTCTTCATGCTAACTCTTTTAAGATATCAGTAAAATGTTTTTTTGAAATGAGTTTAAATTAGTTTTTGATTATTATCAAAGTGGGGGTTAATCTTTGCATTTTTGCATCTTTCAACTTTTTAAGACTTTTTTTTTACTTACATTAGCAAACAACGTTTGGGTGTCTACATGTCACCGTGGAGTGGAAAATTCAATTTTGTAAATTTCCATGAAAGAATTAAAATAAATAAAAAATTAAAAATTAAAACTTGCATAAATTATTTTAGTTATAAAACTTGTGATAAAACAATTTATTCAACATTTGCTAAACCTATTGCATGTAAAGTTTAAAGGATATGTTAATCATGGAATATATTGTTATTTAAGAATATTGGGCATTTACATTCATAAGAATTCATCCATTTGCCAGGAAACTAGGTTTGAATCCACAGACTACTCTTTTATGTGCTTTTGTTTAGCACCACTTCACTTTATTGCTTTTCTCTTTGTTCTATATCGCTCTACTTCATCTCAAGACTGCACTCTTCTTGATTTTATTTCTGTTCATATTGACCAAGCCCTCTCTCTTCATCTCTCAGCCAATATTGTTGTTGTCAGTGACTTTAATGCTCATAACACTGAATAACTTGGCTCTAGTGTCAGTGACTCTGCATGAATTAAAGCTCACAACTTTTGCCTTTCTCAATCCATAACTCAAATAGTCAACTTTCCAACTCGCTTTCCAGACAATCCAAATCATTTACCTTCTCTACTCGACTTATGTCTTGTTTCTAATCCTAGCCAGTGCTCAGTTTCTTCACATCCACCCTTAGCTGACTCTGATCACAGTTTGATCTCTCTAAAACTATTATCTCATTCTTCTTTATCATCAGAATCCCCCTATCATCATACATCTTACAACTACCTTTAAACTGATTGGGATTCTTTCCATGATTTTCTTCGTGATGGCCCTTGGGTAGAAATCTTTTATCTTCCTGTTGACAAATGTGCTTCTTACATAACTTCAAGGATTTAGGCTGACATGGAATTCTTTATTCCTTCTCGACAATCCCAGGTCAAGCCTCACTCTTCTCCATGGTTTTCCTCACATTGTGCTGCTGCAATTGTCAATTAAAACCATTACTTCCATATCTATCAGCAAAACAGTTCTCCAGAAAACAGACGTCTGTTTACTAAAGCTAGAAACCATTGTAAAAAGGTTTTGTCTAATGCCAAAGCCTGCTTTTCTCAGGTCATGAAATCTCGTATTTCATCTCAAAAATTAAGCTTTCGTGACTTCTGGAGAATCTTTAATAGTATCAATAATAAGGGCAAATCTGTAATTCCACCTCTCTTGTATGGTTCAGACTTTGTCACCTCACCTAAAGACAAAGCTGTATTGTTTGCTAAGAACTTTTCATCAATATCATCTCTTGATTCCACTAGTTGCATTCTACCTGATATAGCCATCAAACAGGTTGATACATTGCTTGACATTCAGGCCTTCTCAGGAGAGGCATGCGGTTGCATGCCTTGAATGACCACGCATATATATATTTTTATTGATAACATGGCCACGATTTTTTTTTTGCATATATTAAAAAAGACGCATTTTAAAAACGTGCTGAAAAAATCAAACTAATTAGTCATCTTATTGTTTTTTTTTTATTATTAATAATTTATTATTATAATTATTTATGAGAAAATAATAACCTAACAATAATGCACATGTACATATTTATAATTAATGACAAAATAAAAAGATAAAAATAATATATAAATATATATATATATTTTTATTTGTTTTTATGCATTTAATAAAATTCTGGCGATTTTTCGTTAAGTTTTTGTTTACTAAATGAATTACGTCATTAAGAAATTATTATTTCTTGACAAGGTCTTAACTGAAACTTTTTATATAAGGAGAATTAAAAAAAAAAAGTTTTTTTTTATATGTATCAAAATTATTTATTTTATTGTTGTTGTTTTTTTGTTTGTTTATGTACTATTATTTTGGTTGACATATAGATGTTTATAAAAGATTCAAATGTGAATACTTAGCAGCATTTTAAAAAATCAATCTTATAAAAATAAAGCAATACACATAAACGTAAGAAGTGCAAGTAAAAACTTCAACAAACCAATGACTCAATTAAGTAATAATAAAGATGTAAAACTAAAATATTTTTCTGAAGTTGCTCTTGGTCTTGCGAAAAAACTGTTTTCGGTTTGATAACTTTAATGAATGTTATGAAAAATCACTCAGGAAGAGTGCCACCAGTTTTTAAAAAATTTCTTTGTTAATTATTTTTAATGAATGAGTTCAATACTTTTGCAATTCTTTTGTTACGTAACTCTAACTCTTAATAATAGATTAAAAAAATCATGATAACCGCACAATAATGCAAGAGATGTAACTTAAGTAAAAAATACAGTATCAAAAAAGCAAGTTTATTTTAAAAAAGTTTTTATAAAAACTTTAAATTGGTATAGAATTCTCTGCATTTTGTGAAAGTTTCTAATACAAACTGCATTACTGATTCGCAGAAATGAGACCTATAAGTTAAATCAGTTTTTTTACCTTGTTTTCTGTGTAACATAAGTGCATGTGGCATTTTCAGTAATAAGCTTGCTCTCTTTTGGCCGAACTCAAAACTTTTAAGCTTATTTTATTTATTAGACTAACAGCTTTCATACAAAACTGCTAAAAGTTTAATTTAAAAGTTTAAATAAGCAAATATTTGATAAAGTTGTTGCGCGTGTAACGTAAGTTAAAAATGGAATTGCCCATATATGTTATTTTAATGTTTTTATTTTTTCAGCGCGTTTTTAAAATGCGTCATTTTTAATAAATGCAAAAAAATCATGGCCATGTTATCAACAAAAAAAATATATATGCGTGGTCATTCAAGGTGTGCTACCGCACGCCTCTCCTGAGAAGGCTTAACATTTGTATCACTCCAGCTTCTGTAGCTAAAGTGATTTCCTGCTTAGACTCTACAGCTTGTGGCCCAAACAACATACCTGTTATAGTCTTGCAGAAGTGTTTTCCTGAGCTGTTGCTTATCCTTTCAAAACTATTCAACAAGTGCTTATCAGAATCTTTTTTTTCAGCCTGCTGGAAAGAAGCTCTGTTTTCCCTATTTTCAAAAATTCTGGAGAGCGATCTGATTTGTCTAACTACTGTCCCATTAGTCTTCTTCCTATCATAAGCAAAGTTTTTGAATCTTTAATTAATAAAGACTTAATCTATCATCTTGAATCTAATAACTTACTTTCTGATCATCAATATGGAGTTCTACGGCTGATTTGCTAATAGTAATAACCGATAGGGGTTATCGTGCATTAGATAAAGGTGGAGAGGTTAAGGCCGTTGCTCTTGACATTTCTAAAGTGTTTGATAAGGTTTGACATGCTGGTCTTCTCCATATGCTTTCTTCCTACCGTGTATATGGAAACATCTTAAAGATTATTGAATCTTTCCTTTCCGATCGAAGTATAAAAGTTGTCCTCGATGGACAGCACTCTTCTTCTTACACTGTAACCTCAGGGGTTCCTCAAGGTTCAATCCTTGGCCCTATACTCTTTTTAATTTACATTAACGATCTTCCAGATATTCTCACACATCTAAGGTGGCATTGTTTGCTGATGATACTACCATTTATCCTTGTCATGATAAAAGGCCAACACTCTCTGATTGCTTGGAGGGAGCATTTGAGCTTGAAAAGGATCTCACTTCTGCTACAGCACAGAGCTCACAGTGGCTGGTGAATTTTAATTCAGATAAAACTCAATTTTTTTCAGCCAATCGTTATTGCAATAATTTAGACCTTCCTATATTTATGAACGGTAATGTACTCAATGAGTCATCTACCCTTTATCTTCTAGGATTAACTTTTACTTCCGATCTTTCTTGGAAACCATATATCAAATCTGTTGCCAAATTAGCATCTGCTAAAGTTGCTTCTCTTTATCAAGCTCGACACTTTCTTACTATGGATTCTATTCTCTATCTCTATAAATCTCAAATCCGTCCTTGTATGGAATACTGTTGCCATATCTGGGGCAGATCTTCTAATGATACCCTTTCTATTTTAGACAAGGTGCAAAAACGTATTGTAAACATAGTTGGACCTGCTCTTGCAGCCAACCTTTAACCATTATCACATCATTGTAATGTTGCTTCTCTTTCTCCTTTCTAAAAATACTATAATGTGCACATCTTTTCTCTTCCAGTAACTTCCAACACTAATTAGTGGTTGCTTGCAGTCTTGTTAAAAGCGAAGTTGTTTAAAATAAAAAAAAAATTATACTTGCAACAGTGTTGTTAGAGATGCAGCAATGATAGGCTTAAAATAATACTTGTTACTTGCCTGAACACTTGATTGGCTTTATTTTTTTTTGACTCTTGCATTAACTTTTATACAAAAGCCGTCAGCATAAAAAGTTACCAAAAAAAAAAGTTACTATGGATTCAAAGCATTCAAAATTAAGAACTTACTAGAATCTTACAGAACTCAGAAGTTACTGGAACGATACAAGAAAACTTCTTATTTCTATTACTTTTTTTGAAATGGGAAGGACATATTTATTTGAAATGAGAAGGACATATTTAGCCATATTTTTCTTTATATAAGGCCAAATGTTTCTTTTGATGCCACCTTTATTTTGGCAAATATAATCTATATATATTTAGTTCAAGAAAGAAGAGAGTTGAAAAGATGAAAAATGAAAATTGTCGGTGGTTATGCAGAGAGAGAGAGATTTCTCTTTGCAGACCTTTGACTCTTCTATAAGGAAAGTCAGGGTTAGAGTTTTTTTATATGACTATAAGTAATATATTGGGCCAGGTTGGCTTCTAATCTGAAGTGAAAACAATTTACCTAAAAGAAAACTTGAATATATTACCTCAATTTAACTGTAGGTATTTATGGTTTTTTAATAGCAACAAAAAACAAACAAAAATAAATAAAAAAATAGCCTTTCTTATATTGACACGTGGCAAGTATGTTAATTGATAAGTGAAGTTAATAATAATGTGTATATTATTATTAACACTAAGCCAATCTATATATTTGATATCAAAATTCCGAAGCTGATTTCCATTCCTAATTTTAAAATATATCTTATATTACTATTACTAACTATTTATTTTAATTTTAAATTTTTTCCGAATGTTTGAAACTATATTATTTCAACTAATCAATTTTTTAAATAATTTAAAATAATAAGTTTTAAGTAATTAATACTTTAAATAATTTTAATTAAATAAAAAAAAAAAAAAATTAATGTTTTATATAAGCAAAGTTTTACCTGCACTTAGCTCGAAATTTTATATCAACACCTTTTGGCGGATCAGCTCTTATATTAACAATTTGAGCAATTTTTAAGTATGCTTCTTTGATCAAAGGAACTACATTTGATGAATCGTTATTCAACCGAGCTGCTACTGCACCAGATGCTTGGCCAAAAAAGTTTGCTACTTTGTTATATAGATCTGTGTTACCCGTGGTTGCAAAAATTGGAACTATTTCATTCTCAACCATCAATGCTCGAATTTGGGATAAGGATGGATAATCAAACTTGTTCCATCCTATATAGTCATTGTTTTCTAAATGACATTTTCCATCACTTGGTAAAACAAAACCACCAAGCAGTCCATCACCAGAAAAATGGAAGGTTCCATCAGTAGTAAGGATTACAATCCTTCTAGCTTTCTTTTTATTACGCCATCCAATTTCTTTTTCACAGACAACTACTTGCAGCAATGCTTCTAATGATCCTTCTGGACTATCGACATTATATGAAATTTTAGTGTTTTTAACCGCTTCTCCAAACAATGCT